CCAACGAGAAGCCCTTTGCCTGCCAGGTCTGTGGGCAGAGGTGAGTGAAGTCTGTGAGGCTGTTGCTGCTTCGAGAGATCCTGTACAGAGCTCTCCAGGGCTCAGGAGGAGAGAGGGTACCAGCAAAGAGCTGTCTGCCCCAACCCTGCCCCTGGGAGCAGTCCCCGGTTAGAGGGGACTCTGCCCTTGAGAATGGTTCCTGCTGCCAGTGGACCCTGCTTTGTCCCCAAGGAGCTTCTGCGGAGGGAGGTTCAGTACTTGGGCGCCGATGGAAGCGCTGTGGGAGCTGGGACAGGCCGTGTTGCAGGATGTGCTCGTGGTGCCTGTGGCCTGGGTCTCTGCAGAGAGCCCAGAGGCCCTGTGCTGCCCGTGGCAAGCTCCACCTCGCTCCGTTCCTCCCGTAGGTTCAACCGCAACGGGCACCTCAAGTTCCACATGCAGCGTTTGCACAGCTCGGAGGGGAAGAGGCCGGGGGCGCCTACGGCTGCTGCCCAGCAGACCATCATCCTGAACAGCGACGAGGACACACTGGCCACCCTGCAGAGTAAGATGTGTCCCTGTGCCGGGGGTGACCTGCGGGTTCCCTCTGGCCAGAGCCCCGTGCGGGGATTCACCCGGCCTGGGGGGCTGAGGAGGGCCGGGGCCGGGAGATCCCTGATGGAGGTCAGGGTGGCAGGCACAGAGATGAGGGGGCTGGGCACAGGGAGCTCTGGTGGTCGTGCTTCTGTGCAGAGCTCGGGCTGCAGCGCTTCCTCCACGGAGGTCCCGGTAGATCAGCGCGCTGCAGGAGCAGGGGTGCTGTGGGCACCTCGTGGCCGAAACGGGAAGCGGAGTGCGTGGTCTGATCTGGGGGCTGCATCTTGCCCATAGTGACCTCTAATTTCCGTCATGCTGGGAGAGTTTGGTTTAACTTCTGACCTTCTGCGAGCAGAGCTAAGAGACTGTCCCGTGCTCCTCGCTGGGCACCTGGCAGGGGCTGCTCGGGAGCGGGGCCGGCCGGCAGCCCCCGCGGTGTCCGCACCGGCTTTCTCTGCATTCCAGCGGCTCTGCAGTCCGGCCAGGCGGTGCTGGCTCCCGAGCGGCTGCAGCAGGCTCTGGGGCAGGAGCACATCATCGTCGCGCAGGAGCAGAGCGTCACGAGCCAGGTGAGTCGGGCCCGTCGGTCTCGTCCTCCCGCCCTGGGCTGTGCGGGTTCCCTCCTCCTCCTCCTCCTCGGGTGGGCAGGCAGGGACACCCCCGCTGACGGCGCTGGGCTCTCACTGACCTGCAGGAAGAGGCTACGTACATCCAGGAGATCACAACAGCCGACGGACAGACAGTACAGCACTTAGTGACTTCTGACAACCAGGTGAGGGGGGGGGCCACGTCCCAGGAACAGAAAGATTCTGTGCAGGTGGAGCAGGGAGAGCTGGGGGCAGTGGGGAAGGTGGGGTGGAAACCGGCATAGAAGGCAGACAAGGACCAGCCCTGTTGCGGTGGCGGGGCTGGGCAGCAGTGAGCTTGTGTTGGGTCTGAACCCCTGCGTTTGCAGGTTCAGTACATCATTGCCCAGGACGGTGTGCAGCACTTGCTTCCGCACGAGTACGTTGTTGTCCCGGAGGGACATCACATCCAGGTAAGCCCCAGGCTGTCCGCCCCGTTGGCGCGCTGGATGGGGCTCGGGAGGGTGCTGTGTGCGGGCTCAGCCTCCTCCTGCTCCCTCTGGCTTGCTCCGTTGGAGGCACGGCTGTGCTCAAGGGCAGGGGCGCCCGCTGTAGCCCTAACGCAGCCGCACGGGGGCTCTTGTCCCCAGGTCCAGGATGGCCAGATCACCCACATCCAGTACGAGCAGGGCAGCCAGTTCCTCCAGGAGCCGCAGGTGAGGGGCCAGGCATGGGGCGGGCTCTGGGTGTGTGGCCGGGGGGGGGGGGGGGGGTCGGGTTGTGACTCGCTGCAGCGGCCAGAGCAGCGCTCCAGGAGGGACCTGGACCCTCCCAGACCCTCCTGTTCTCCCGGCAGATCCAGTACATGCCTGTCTCGCCCGAGCAGCAGCTTGTCACGCAGGCGCAGCTGGAAGCGGCTGCGCACTCGGCGGTCTCCGGTAGGACCAGGGCCGCGGGCTGAGCGCGGGCGTAGCTCTGGCAATCCCGTCCCCCTCCAGGCCCCGGGGTGCTGGTTCTGCTGGGCAGTTTGCGATGCCTCTTGGCGGCCCCTGAGAGGCCGTGGGCTCAGCCCAGCGCCTCTGCTGGGGCCGGGGGGGGGGCGAGGCTGGGTTGCCCCCTTGCCGCCTGCGTCCCTGTAATTCCGGGAAGCGGCCGGCCTCGGTGTCCGAGGGGAGGTCTGCTCCAGCGCCTCCGTTGGGAACGGTACCGGCTCCCCTCCCCTGGAGAAGAGTCGCCGTGCTGGGAGGCGCGGGGTGCGTGCAGGGTCAGTGGGGGGCAGGCTCCTGACCCCCCCCTCTCCTCCGCAGCGGTGGCCGACGCGGCGATGGCGCAGGCGCAGGGCGTGTTCGCGGCCGAGGCGACGGCCGAGCAGCTCCAGCAGCTGCAGCAGGGGATCCACTACGACGTCATCACGCTGGCGGACTAGCACCGGGCCGGGCCCGGCTGGCGCTGGGACACCGGCGCCGGGCAGGAGCCTCCTCGGCCAGCAGTTGCCTTATCGCTTCGGGGCTACGAGGGACGTGCCGGAGCGCGCCGCGCACCCGGGGGGTCCCGCGCACCCCCCCCCGGCCCGGGCGGCCGTCGCCAGCAGACTGCTGAGCAGCGGCGGTGCTCTGGTGCGGCCGGTCTTTTTGCCTGTTGCACTTGATGGTCTGAAATCCCTTTTCCTGAATCATGTCTCTGTGGGCCAAACTCGGCTCGGCGTCTGCCTGGCACACGAGGATCCCGGGGGGGGGGGCGAGCGCAGCCCTGCGGTCCTGGCGCGGGGGCAGCCGTCCCCCCCCCGGCGCCTGCGGGCAGGCAGCAGCAGGGCTTTGGACTGGAGGAACCCGCAGCGGGCGGAGGCGGAGCTGGAAGATACTCTATTTTTCTTCTGAAGAGGGATGGACTCGAGTTGGTTCGTAGGTGGTTGTGGGAGGGGGTTCGGTTCTGACGTTCTCAAGCTTTGACTATGCTTATGAATAAAAAAGGGATTGGAACCTGCCTGTGTGCCTGCCTGGAGGGCTCAGCCTCCCGCTGCCTCCCTGCGGGCTGCCCCGCGCTCCCGCCTGCCTCCTGCCCAAGTGACCTTGGCTCCCGGGGAGCGGGCCGGGCAGCTGGGACACGGGTGGGCCTGGGGCTGGAGGCATGAAATTAATCGAGTGGTAAACAGCCTAAATCCCGTGTAACTCTGCCCCCAACTACACACGCTGCCCCTCCCTGAGCGGATTGTCTGGAAGTATTTACATGTGATTATAACAGCTAATCTCGGAGTTTTAGTTCTATGCTTTTGCATTAAACTGATTATCTGCGGAGGGGAAAAAGGCCCGGAACCACCCAACTTCAGCAGGAGCTTCTGTGAGGCTGGAGTCCGGTGTGCTGCGACCGCCGGGCTCGGCTGGGCCGGGGACGGCACCGGGGCTGGTGCTGTGGCCCGGAGCGACGGCACCCCCGTCCCACCCCGCGGGGCGCCCGCTGTCCCCAGGGACCCCGCTGCTCGGCCCCCGCTCGGGGCTGTGCCCCGCTGTGGCTGGGCCTGCCCGCCCGTGGCTCGGTCGCCATCCAGCTGTGCCCGGCCCCCTCCAGCTGTGCTGCGCGGGGCTAAGGCACGCCGCAGCAATCCGCAGGCGCTTTCATAGATTACGGCCCCATTATCTCATAAAGCGGATCTGATTAGGGCTGGAGGAGTCCCGTGGGGACAAGGTTACGGGGCCGCTGCGAGGCCGTGGCCAGGGCCGGTCCCCGCCTGGGGCTGCCCAGAGCACGGGACCAGCCCAGGACGGGGACGGGGCTGGGACGGGCTGGACCAGCTCTGGCAGCTGCTGCTGGGGCTCTGACTGGGGGGCAGCGGGGGCTCAGGACCCCCTCAGTGCCAGCACCTCGGCCCTGGGACCTGCTGCTGTCACCAGGGGCCCGTGGGGAGCCTGGGGCTGCAGCAGGGCTCATTAGCACCAGTGACCTTCCCCTTCCCGTCCCCGGCCAGCGCTAAGCGGGTTTGTTACATATTTAATATCCTGAGAGCGTTATTAGTCGGTATTTAATGACGGATACAACCTGTGGGATAATCCCGGTCTGAGCAGGGAGGCGCGGCGGCAGGAGCTGGGCAGCTCGGGGTGTCGTGGGCTCTCGGGGCCCCTTGCACGGCTGCCCCTGGCTCCGCCAGCGTGCAGGAACGCCCTGGTGCCCGCGGGGCCGGGTGCCCCCCAGGCAGAGGGTCCCCAGGGGCGGCGGGGCCCCTTCCCCTCCGCCCCTCTGCAGCCAGGAATCCAGCTGCAGGCGCGGCGGTGCTGGGGCTTGGGCGCGGGCTCGGCCGAGCTGGAGGATGAGCGGGAGCTGGGGCAGCACCTCGTGCCACCCGCGTCCTACCGGGCTGTGCACAAATTCTCCCGCCAGCCCCCACCCCGCCGCGGTGGGGGGGGAGCTCTGCAGACCCCTGCCCCAGGGCCAGGTCAGCGCTGGGGTCAAGGACGGGGACCGATGGCTCTCGGCGCTGCCGTGTGCTGTGTCCCGTGCCTGTCTCCGTGTGCGCCGCGTCCCCGTGGCTGTGGGTGTCTGTGGGGCTCGTGTGGGCCCCGTGCACCGGCACCCAGTGCCGCTGTGCCCCATCTCTGGGGCTGCACGTACCCGGGGGGCTGCACGTACCCTGGGGGCAGGGGTCCTGGACACCTCCCGGCTGGTGGCGGGCGGGCAGGGAGGGAGGCTGGGGGGCTCCCTGCCAGCCCCTGCCCAACAGGAGCCGGGGAGGGGGAGGTATCGCCTGCCCCAGATCCTGCTGCCGCTCCCGTGGGTGCTAATACTCCCTAATCAGCTGTCAGTCACCGCGGACCCCGGCAGCTATAAAACGCCCGGGAGCAGCTCCCTGGCTCCTCTCCCTGCAGCATGGCAGCTCCTCGGGGCGAGGGGAGCCCAGGCCGAGAGCTGGGGGGCTGCAGGGGGCCCTGGGGAGCGCTGCGGGGGCCCCCCCAAGCCCTCCTGCCCTGCTCCTGCCCCTGCCCTGTGCTGGCCGGCTACAGCCTGCTGCCACCCCCCCTCAGCCTCCTGGCACCCTCGGTAAGAGCCGCACGGCAGCTCCGGGGGGGGCCAGGATGTGGGACCCCTCCCAGGACCGGGCTGGGGCTGTGTGGGGTGGTTGGGGTTGGGGAGCTGCTGTCCCGGGTTCTCTGCATCCTCTGCCCGCGCCCCCCCGCCCCCCCCCCCCCCCCCCCCCCATCCCACTGCCTCCCCCCTCCTCACTCCCCTGCACCCTGACCCTTTGGGGTGCGCGGGGCCGGGCATGGGAGAGGACGAGGACGGGCAGCACCCAGCTCTGCACCTTCCCCTGCATGAAGGGCTGAGCCCCCACGTCCCCCAGCCGCGGGTGCCCCCCGCCCTGACACCCCTGTGCCCCCTCCAGGTCTCACCAGCCTACGAGGTGCCGCCGGGGCTGCTGCCCAGCGCCGGGCTCTGCCCGCCCTGCTGCCGGCAGCCCCTCTCCGCGGAGCCGGGGCGGGCAAAGGCGGCGGCGGCGCGGGAGAGCACCGGGGCGCTGAAGGCCTGGCTGGCGCGGCACCCCAGGAACCCCTACCCCAGCAAGGGGGAGAAGGTGATGCTGGCCGTCGTCAGCCGGATGAGCCTCACGCAGGTCTCCACGTGGTTCGCCAACGCCCGCCGGCGCCTCAAGAAGGAGAACAAGGCGGGCGGTGCCGCGCGCGGCGCCTCGGACGGCGAGGACAGCGAGGGCGAGGGGGCTCTGCCGGGTGCCCCTCCCGGCCCTGACCCCAGCCCCGTGCAGGATGGGTGCGGGGAAAACCCCGCGGCGGGGCCAGGCCCTGGGCAAGGCAAGGAGCCTCAGAAACCCAAGATCTGGAGCGTGACGGCGATGCTGGCATCTCCCCCCAGGGAGAGCGGGAGCTCCCCGGCGGTGCAGGAGCAGGGGTAGGGCCAGGGCAGTCGAGACCTGTCCCCAGGGACCAGGTGGGGAGGGGACAGCCCCACAGACGGGCGGGGCAGGACAGACAACCAAGGGACCCGGCAGGGAGGGACGCAGGACACTAATAAATGTGACTGACTTGGAATTCCTGGTGTTGCCTGTCTGTGGTGGGGATGCCTGCGAGGATGTGACCGGGGATGCGGGGGCACCAGTGGGGACATGGGTGGCTCCACCGCCCCTGGGGAGCAGGGTGGGTCCTGTCCCGAGCCCCTTGGCTGCCCTGAGCCCGGCCCCCTCTGCCTGAAGCAGAGCCCTCCTGCGCGCCCGGCCAGGGGTTCACCAGCTGCGGTCCCCGAGGGGGCTCCCCCCACTTGGCAGGGGAAGACCCGCAGCATTTCCAGGGGATTTGGTGCCTCCCTGGTGCCTCATTCTGTTTCCCCTCCCTGGGCATCCAGGGCCACCCCTGGGGTGAGCTCATGCATGGGGTGCAGGACTGGGGTGGCCATCAGCACCGGCACAGCCCTGCGCCACGGGGCAGCACAGGGAGGGACACGCAGGGACAGGGACACGCGTGGACGGGCACGTGCGGGCGGCAGCCGTGGGAGGGAGCGGCACCGCTGGCTGCTCACTGAACGGGACAGCGGCTGCTGGGACCGGGCTCAGACCCGCTGGGCTCCCACATCCCCAGGGCCAAGCTCATGGCAGGGGGCTCTGCGCAGCCCCAGGGTGATGAGCGGGGCCAGGGGAGCTGGCCAGGGAGGGGAGAGGGGACCAGGAGCCCCCGGGGAGGCACGGACACGGGGCAGAGCTGTATGCTGGTTTTAATGTTCCTAAGAACTAGGAAACAGAAATCAAAAATAGACTTTGCTCTTCTTGATAAAAGTAATAAAATGGTTAGCGGTGTTAAATTAATCCTTACAAATCAAAACCCAAGGAGGTTAAATAAAGCCCGGAGGCTCCGCATAAAAACCACAACGACTACAAAACAGCTGCAAAGACATCTTTACACACCAAAGAAACTCCTCTTCTCCGCTCCCCCCTACACGGTACACAGCGCCGGCGAACACGGGACTCACACACGGGGGAAAGGAACACGGGTGCGATGGGAGCGGCCCCGCGAGGAGCGCGGGCGCCACGGACAGAACTATTTACACTATGGACACGGAGCCGTGCTGGGGCCAGTCTGGCCGCAGGAGCCCCCGGGCTCTGCCCGTCCTTCTCCTGCCGGCGCCGGGCTGCGGCCGGGGCCCCTCCAGCCGCGGCGCTCGGCGCCGAGCACTTGCGCTGCCTCAGCTGGGGTTCGTCTCCCGGCTGCTGCTTTTCTCTCGGCCCAGCTCCCGCTCTTCGTCTGCTGTGGAGGAGGAGGAGGACGAGGAACCGGGGGTCTGGCCCGAATCCTTGTAGGCTGCAACGAGCTCCTGCAGCCGCGCCGGTGGGGGCTCCCGCTTGGCAAAGCCCGCGCTGTTCTGCAAGGGAAGGCACCGGGCGCTGAGCATCTCCCAGTGGTCCAGGCAGACCTCCAAGCTGTGAGTCAGCCGTGGGTCGGGGAACACCCGTACCCCGAGGGACAGTGCCCCAAGGTGCCCAAAGCCTCCCCGGCACGGGCACAAGGCTCGGCCCTGCAGAGTCAGGAGTGGGGGAACCCAAAGACCTCCCGGCACAGACACTGGCAGAGGCTGTAGACGATGCAGAGGAGGAGGGTGGAGGGCACGAGGCTGACCAGGATGATGCCCAGGCTGTGGTGCTCGATGAGCAGGAGGTAGATGCCGAAGGGCAGGGAGCTGAAGTAGAGGAGGCAGAGGACGCCCAGGATGAAGCGGGGGACGGCTCGCCACCCCCAGGAGCGGCACTTCTGCCCGGGGCCGTGGCAGGGCAGCGCGCCCAGGCTGGCCGGCCGGTACAGCCGCACCACCTCCAGCCCGCCCAGGCCCTCCGGCGGGGCCACGTCCTCCGGCACCTCCAGGATGGTGACGACCAGGCAGTCGGGGCCGGGAGCGGGCTCCAGCACGCTGGGGCAGAGGAGAACTTCGGGGGACCGGGAGGGACCCCCCTGCTTCTTGGCCCGCTCACGGCCTATCAGCAGTGCCAGCGCCTCGCCGTCGTCCTGCAGCCGCTGCACGTCCCCGCCGGGCACCGGGCTGTGCCGGCGGCAGAAGGGGCAGCGGAGCTGGCGCGGCGACACGTCCCCCAGTGCCACCATCTTGCGCAGGCACTTGGCGCAGAGGCGGTGGCCGCAGCGGAGCAGCTTGGGTCTGCGGGCGCGGGCGTCATAGCGGCTGTAGCAGATCTTGCACTCCAGCTCGGGGGCCGCCGGTGCCATCGTCTGAGGCCCCCGCTCGCCGTCCGGCTGGGCCATGCTCCCGCCCGGCTGCCTGGGGGCTGGCAGGGGAGAGGGAAGCTGCCGGGGGGGCCCAGATGCACCCCACGGGCAGGGTCCTGCTCAGCCCCTGGGGCTGCGTGGCAGAGCGGGGCCGGGGGAAACGGGCACCGGCTGCAGCCCCCTCCCAGGGCCGGCACAGCCCGGCTCTAAGCACCAGCCGGTGCTGCCACCGCGGGGACTCGCCCCCGTCCCGGCCTCCGCGTCTGGTCAGGAGGGACACATCCTTCCCGGGGGATGGGACCGGCTGCAGCGTGGGGGGCAAGGTCCCGGGAGCAGCATGCGGGATCCCCAGGGAAGGGCCGGCTCTGGACACCGGGGTCTGCCGGCGGCGCAGACCCCCTGCCCTGCAGCCCCCCTGGCCCACGCCCCCCGGCCGTGGGGCGAGCAGGCTCCCAGCCCGCGGCCCCCCCCCGTACCTGCGATCCGCGCCGGGGGTCCTGGGAGGGACGCGGCCGTGGGTCAGTCCCCGGCCCCGCGGCCTTGGCGGCGGCAGACAGGGTGGCGTGTGCCCCATGGAGAGGCGTGGGGCGCGCTGCCCGCCACGCTGCAGAGGCAGCCTTGGCGCAGGGGCTGCCAGCATCCTCCGCGGCGTTGGCTTGGCAACGCGGAGCGGGAGGCGGATGCTCAGGCGGTGCCGGTGCCAGCGCTGCGCGGAGCCCCGGTGGGACAGGGACAGGCACCGCAGGGCGCAGCCAGGACGGCGGGGACCCCCGGGCCCCCACCACGCTGCAGCGGGTTGGTGCGGGGGGTCGGTGTGGCTCCCCCCAGCCCTGCTGACCCTTCGCTCCCAGGCAGCCCTGAGGATGCTCCTTCCCTGGCAGCGGCTCCTGGGGCCCTGCAGCGCCCGGCCCGGGGGAGAGGGTGGCTGCAGAGCGGGGTCCTGAGGGTCCCTACGGCACGGGCAGACCCTCTGCCCTCCCCTGGCCTGGGAACGGGCGGCTCCTGCTCAGCACCAGGGAGAGAAGCTGTTTCAGGTACGAAGAGCCCAGCGAGGAGGGGTCCCGCACACCCACCCCGGAGCCCAGCCCGTCGCCCGCAGCATGGGGGACCCCGGGGTGCCAAGAACTGCTCAGCACCGCCAGCATGTGCCCGGCCACATCGCCCCGCTCCTGCACCCCGGGAAGCCAGGGCCGGGGGGATTCGGGGGCCGCAGCGCTTGCCAGATCCAGGCTGGGCGCGGCCGAGCCCGTGGCACATCCCTCTCCACGGCTGGGGCTCCCCTCGCCGGGGTGTTTCCAGCAGCCCCCTCAGACCCCCCCCATTGCCCGGGGCGGAAGGCAGGTCAGCAGCGCAGATTCCTTCCCCCCGCCCCCCGGCACGGAGAGGGCAAACCTCCCTCCCTGCCGCTGCGCTGCCAGGCAGGAGAGCGGCAGCGCTTGTGGGGGCTGTGACGGGGACCCCGCGCAGCGACGGGCGACCCGGGAGCATGCCGGAGCCCCGGCAGTGCCGGGGGGTTTCCAGCCCCTCATCAGTGACAGGGTCACACCTTGGCACCCGCAGCCCCTCGGGCCGCAGGACTGGGGGGTTTGCTGGTTAACAAGAAAACTACGGGGTTTTTTTTCTCCACACCGGGCTCTACTCTGTTTGCTGAGCTCCGTGAACTGCCCAGGTGATTACTGCCCACACCTTGAGGAGCGCAGGGCTGGGCTGCAGTTCAGGCCCGCGCCAGAGCCGCCCCTTGGGCTGGAGCTGCCCGGAGCAGCCTTAGCGATGGGCCTTTTTGTTCAAATCTTCAAGGTTTGGCAGAGTCTAAAAGAGCAGAAATTCCAGGGACCCGGCGACATCCAGCTCCCAGTGTGACCGCTGACACTGCCCCCCCCCTCCTGCTCGTACCCGCCGGTTCCCAGCCGTCACTTTGTCCCTGCGCTCCGGAGCCAGAGCCCACCGCCCGCTGCCGCCGGGGCTCAGCTCCCGGCCGGGGTCCCGGTGGGCTCCTGCCCAGGACCCCCCGTCCCCTGGTCAAGGGACGCGGTGGCAGCGCCCGTTGCACCCGCAGTGCTCGACCTGACGCTCCCCTTCTCCTGCCTCTTGCTTTGCCCAGATAAACGAGATGTTCTAGAGAGGAAGCCCCGGCACAGGGCTCCTCAGCCCCTGCTGTCCCATTTCCACTGTGAGACCACAGCAATTAAATACTTAACAAGGTAATTGGCCACCACCTGAGGGAGCAAGGCAAAGGTCTGGACGAGGTTTGCCAACGCTCGTCGGCATTGGCATGTCTCTGGTCACCTGCGCTTCAGGAGCAGCTTGCCTTGGCTCAAAATCATTGATAAAAGGCAAAAAAGGCTTTACAAACTGCTGCCTTCACTGCCCGAGTTCCCGGCTGACCCGGGTGCCACGTCAGAGCATCCCAGGAGAGCTGCGCAGATCCCGGGCGCTGGCAGCGCGCGGGGCGGGGCTGCTCCTGCCCCCTGCAGCGGTGCTGCCGGCGCTGCCGGGCGCGGAGCTCCACGAGCACAACCCCGACACAAGAACCGCGGCGCTTCCTCAGCTCCCGCCTTCCGACCAACAGCCCTCGCGACGCGCTTGCTCCGTGCCAGGACACGCAGCTCCCCAAGGCCACGGGATTAGAGGCTCCCGGCAACGCTGACCCACGCCGGAGCCGTGCTCCTCTGGGACGGCAGAACCCAGGCGGGGAGCACCGGCTGCCACGGGGCTCTGGAGGTAAAGCCAGGAAATCCCCAAACCCCAGAAAAGCTGGGTCAGGGAACTACCGTGGCTTTCAACGCCCAGAGCCGCCCTCACCTCGCCAGGGCAGAGGGACAGCGCGTGGCCGATGACTCGAAGCCAACGGCCGGCGGCAGGGCGAGCTCGACGGCTGGCGGCCGAGGCAGCAGCAGGCCAGCTGGGGAGGGGCTGCGCACCCACCCCCGGGCTGCTCTGCCAGGACCCCCCCCCTTCCCCACCGCCACCCCCGGCCAGCGACAGGGACCCCAGCCAAGCTCTCGCCACCGCAGCGGTCGCTGCTCCGCGCCTGCGACACGGCTCAGCCCCCGATGGGGGGGAGAGGGGGCCACCGAGCCCCGGAGCAGAGACCCCCGCGAGGAGCCGCCGGCTGGTCCTGTCCCGAGGAGGCTGCGGGCCACCAGAGGTGCCTGCGCTTTTCAGATGGCCGTTACGGGGAAGAGAAAGCAAAACTCTTCCCCGTAGCGTAACGAACCCAGAGGGCAGTGGTCAGGCTGCTTCAGCACGTTCACGCTGGTTGTTAGGGAAAAAAATTCACCAGGATGGCACCGCAGCACGGAAGGGGTCAGATGCCGGACAGTTCTGAAAGGGAAACAGAAACAAACCAAAAAAACACCAACATTTTTCTACCTTTCAGCCAGACAGAGGCGAGGGCAGGGGGTGGCCACAGGCCCCCGGCTGACAGGGAAGGAACGGCACAGACACAGGGCAGAGCTGTATGCTGGTTTTAATGTTCCTAAGAACTAGGAAACAGAAATCAAAAATAGACTTTGCTCTTCTTGATAAAAGTAATAAAATGGTTAGCGGTGTTAAATTAATCCTTACAAAACAAAACCCAAGGAGGTTAAATAAAGCCCGGAGGCTCCGCATAAAAACCACAACGACTACAAAACAGCTGCAAAGACATCTTTACACACCAAAGAAACTCCTCTTCTCCGCTCCCCCCTACACGGTACACAGCGCCGGCGAACACGGGACTCACACACGGGGGAAAGGAACACGGGTGCGATGGGAGCGGCCCCGCGAGGAGCGCGGGCGCCACGGACAGAACTATTTACACTATGGACACGGAGCCGTGCTGGGGCCAGTCTGGCCGCAGGAGCCCCCGGGCTCTGCCCGTCCTTCTCCTGCCGGCGCCGGGCTGCGGCCGGGGCCCCTCCAGCCGCGGCGCTCGGCGCCGAGCACTCGCGCTTGCCCTCCGTCCCGCCATCCGTCCCGCCGTCCTTCCGCCCGTGCGTGCGTCCCAGCTCTGGCTGCCCCTTCCCTGGGCACTCCGGCGTCCGAGGGGCTGCCTGCTCCTCCTGCCGCGCCGCGCCGGGTCCCCTCGCCCTCCGGCGAGGGCCGCAGCCCAGCCGGCTCTCCCCGCCGGCGTGCAGTTCGCAGGGGGAAGCAGGTGCCGTGGGGCTGCTGCGCAAGAGTCCCCCGGGCCGGTGCTGCGCAGCCAGCAGTCCCCCCCTGCCCCGGCCAGCCTCCTCGGGGCCGCCGGCACCTCCCCTGCTGCCTCGCACCTCTGCGCCCTAGTTGGGGTTAGTCTCCCGGCTGCTGCTTTGCTCTCGGCCCAGCTCCCGCTCTTTGTCTGCTGTGGAGGAGGAGGAGGAGGAGGAGGAGGACGACGAGGAGGACGAGGAGCTGAGGGTCCGGCCTGAATGCTTGTAGGCTGCAACGAGCTCCTGCAGCCGCTCCGGTGTGGGCTCCCACTTGGCAAAGCCCGCGCTGTTCTGCAGGAAGAGGACGGCTGTGTTGTGCACGGCCTTGTAGTACATCTCCTCTCTGCAAGGGAAGGCAAGAGGCACTCAGCACCTCCCCCGGCCCACCAGGCACACGACTGCCACCCAGGTCCACTTCCTAGCACCCGCCCCTCCCCTTCCTGCACATCGTGGTTAGGACAAGTTCTCGTCTCCGTCCTCTCTCTCATTACTCTGAGGAAAAGGGCAGGCAGAGTGCAGCGTCAGGCACGTCTGAGAAAAGGTAGAGCCTCGCAAACTCTCGGAGGAGCAGCACCGATGCTGCATAGCGCTCTGCCAGCACGCGCACCAGGACGTCGCTGTCCCTGCAGAAGGAGACTCATCGTGGTAAGGCATCAGTCTTAACCAGGTGCAGAGAACCCCAGTGTTAAACAAGTTGTTGCCTGAACTTGTTGCTTCAAGCGCAGACCAACGGGCGGCTCGCCGCGCTGGGGGCCGGGATCCTACCTGCCCTTTGCTTCTGCTTCCCCCGAGCGACAGAGCGCGCTGCGGCACTGGCAGCCCGGGAAACGCCGCCCAGCTGCTCACCAGATCAGAGGGGCGCAGCCCATCCCCGCAGCGCCACAGGCACGACCCGTTCGGGCTGGGCTCGGGGCCAGGGGACACACCACTCCCAAGGTTTTGGTCAGTGAAATACTTCAGTAGTCATTAACCCAGCGCGAACTCCACAGCGCTCTGTATGCCTGTCTTAAAAATCCAGGGTGATTATGCACTGTGTTCTTCCTCGCCTGCTCCCTACTCCTCATTGATCTCAACCTGAGACAGGATATTTCTGGCATACGGCTTCAGAAACGTGATCCCAGAAGGACCCGAGAAAAAGACCTACTTTTTGCAGACGTGCTGAGACCCGCTGCGGTATTCGTGATCAAAGGCTGGCAGGATGAGCTGGTGCCGCTTGAACTTGCTCTGCTCCATGCGGGTCAGGGCTGGTGTAGGAGGGTCCCGCCACTCGGGGATGAAGACAATAAAGGAGAGAGGCTCACTGGAGTTCTCCAGCAGTTTCTAGTTCAACAAAAAAATGAACCACCTCAGTGCTGGCTGCGCAGTGACGTGTCTAATGAGTCCTACGGAAGGGAAACGCCTCTGGTCCTGGAGCAGCGCTGCAGCAGTCACCGTCCTTTCCCTTCTTTATTGCAGCCCTGCCACGAGGGTGTGGGAGCTGGGGGGAGAAGAGGACCGACTGCACAGCTCCACTCAGAACAACTCGAGAGGTGAGCAGACATACCTCAAAGTGAGAGACCATGGCATCCATCAGCTCCTCGCAGAACGGAGGATTTGCCTCGAAAGAGCCACTTATAGGGAAGAAATCCAGGCACGGGCTGGAGGAAAAAGGCGAAGATCCCTATTAGAG